ATCCTCCTTGTGTAAAAGACAATAGATCGTCCTTTAACGTATCTAATTCGCTTTTAAATTTACTAATGTTTTCCATTTGTACTTCTTGTTTCCTTTCTTGTTCCAGTTGGCACTGCTGTAGTCTCTCTTCTTGTTTATTTTCTTTCTCCTCTAACAACTGCTGTAATTTCTCTTCTTGTTTATTTTGTTGTTCGAGCTGCCACTGTTGCAGGTTTTCTTGCAAATACTGTAATCTCTCTTCTTGTTTCTTTTCTTGTTTATTTTCTCGTTCTTCTTGTTTCTTTTGCTGTTCTTGTATTGCTGCCATCAAGTCTGCTATGCTGTAGTTTGATTTGCCGCTTCTCGTTTCCATTGTTTTTTGTTTTTTTTGTCCCACTCTCTGACACCAGTTTGTTACGTCTCCGTTTGTTAATTGATTTTCCGTAACTTCGTTCCGACGAAACTTTAGCGACACAAGTCCTTACTTAATAAAACTGGTTTATTCTTTCTGAATATAACTTTACCGATACACTTATTTTCAACAGTCGCTCTTTTACAAACGTTTTAACAACGAACGTTAACTTCAACAATACTTCCTGACTGCAGTTCAATTACTCACTACCTACACACATTGTTGTCACGTTGTGAGCGTCTTATATATACCAGACAAACATCTATCTAGTAGATGCTAGGGCATTCACGAAGGAACAAGATAGTTCTAGAAACGTGGCGTGACACTAGTCACGTGACCTCGCTGACGCAACAATATGTTGAAATATAACTTTATAAAATGGCTTTTGCACTTTTTTAGTTTCAAATTTCTACTATTTCTCTGAAGCTTTCGTCGAACTATAACCACATTAAAAATAAATATTTGAACGTAAGAAAAGTCTGAAACTCCTTTATTTTTGTGGTATTGTCAAATTCACTGATTTCTTCTTGAGTAATTGGGAAGGAACCGCAAAAACGCCAAAAAGTGTATTGCGGAGGAAAAACCTGAATTCTTTTCACCTTTGTGATATGTGAATATATAACGTGTTTTCCACTGTTTTTAATAAAGTATAATTTGGTTAATTTTTCAAAAATTTGTTTCTATGCAGTTTTAGCGTAAACATGTTTTCAAGAAAACCTTTGAAAGTGGTTATTTCTAGTTACCGTTGTGTCTATTTATTTTCACAGCTGATAATTTCTACATTGCCCGCGAATTACTACAATC